CAGTAGGGGACATGCAGGAGGCAGCCAGTTAATGATTCTCTCTCAACATTAATGTTTCTCTCTCTCCTTCTCTCTTCTCTCTGAAATCAATTAAAATATATTTAAAACAAGAAAAAACTGCCATAACCAGTTTTGCTCAGTGAATAGAGTCAAACAGACTGAAAGGTCCCAGGTTCGATTCCTATCAAGGGCATGTACCTTGGTTGCAGACACATCCCCAGTAGGAGGTGTGGAGGAGGCAGCTGATTGATGTTTCTCTCTCATAGATGTTTCTAACTCTCTATCCCTCTCCCTTCCTCTTGGGGAAAAAAAAAAAATCCATAAAAAAAAAAAAAAAAAAAAAAATATATATATATATATATATATATATATATATTTAAAAATAAATAAATAAATAAAACAAGCAAAAATCTGTATCATCATTTATAGGTTTTATTTTTATTATTTTAATACTGTGAATTGTTTTTAAAATATTGTAATTACTTTAATATTGTAAATAATGTTGTAGTGAATATGTTTGTGAATCAATTTACCCTCCTACCAAAGATGAGTTACATATTGTTATTATTTTGTACTGAATAATTAGTAAAGTTTAAGTGTTTGTCTGCCGTCTGTATGCCTTCACTTATGAAGTACCCATCCAGTTCCTTTGCTCCCTTATCATTCTGAGCTTTAGCTAAGTTTATCAGTCTAGATGAGCCTGTTATACATAATGGCTGTTTGTTGTGATAACTGTTGGGACAATTTGTTTCATTTTCTTCCCCTAGACTAGTGGTCAGTAAACTCATTAGTCAACAGAGCCAAATATCAACAGTATAATGATTGAAATTTCTTTTAACAGCCAAAAATTTTAAACTTAAACTTCTTCTAAGGCCACTTCTTCAAAATAGACTCACCCTGGCCATGGTATTTTGTGAAAGAGCCACACTCAAAGGGCCAAAGAGCTGAGCGTGGCTTGCGAGCCACAGTTTGCTGACCAAGTCCCTAGACCAAGAAACAAATGTAGAATACAAGTTAGTGTGTTGGTTTGACCATTGTCACTTGAGAGCCATAGTACAACCAAGGACACAGGAGTGGAGGTGATCTCTGCTCCAAGAAAAAAGGACTTCCCAGGTAAGGAAACAGTAAAAATATTCTCATATGAATAATCTGAGGTAGCTTTCCCCTCAGCATAAGCACTTATAATTTTTTTATACTCATAAAGAAAAAGGGCGTGGTAGTTGAAACAAATGCAAACACTGTATCACTCCAGTCTAAATTATGTTTTCATCAGGTTCGTGTGAAAAAGCAATTTCCCAAGGCTCTGGCTGAGAAAATGTTAGAATTCTGGCAACTGATGCAGTGAAATACCGGCCTGGGTCCCTTACGTTACCTGGCTATGCTGGATAAGAGGGCCTCGAGATTTTCAGGTCCAGGGCCCCAGGACACCCGGAGAAACGGAGACACGGGGGTGAAACAGAGAACTTTCCCAAGCACAGAATTGCATTTCCCGCCCTGTCCTGCATGTGAGCGATCCCTTGTCTATAGTAGCCAAAACCAGCAACACTTGAGCCAGACTGAATGAACAGGAGATGGTTCTCTGTGACTTCTTGCTGTTGGCACCTTATTCATGTAAGATTGCGAAAGGGGCTCTGTTTCTTCTTGCTCTTTGGAGTTCAAGAATCAAAATGGAGTTTAAAATCTGCCATGGTGCCTTGTACCACTTTTCACAGAGGAAGGTTCATAGTTCCAACCTCCATCTCCCAAGTATATTTTGTACTTTTATATTAAATGATCTATCCTCTTATATGGAAACTCTATGGCATACAAATATTGATCACACACTTATTTACAACTTACACTTTGCCATTAGCCTAATACTTCTTTTTATTTATTTATTTATTTTACTTTTTTTTTTTTTTAAATGTTGTTATTGATTTCAGAGAAGAAGGGAGAGAGAGAAGAGAGAGATAGAAACATCAACGATGAGAGAGAACCATTGCGTGCTGCCTCCTACAGGCCCCACACTGGGGATCCAGCCTGCAACCCGGGCATGTGCCTCAACTGTAAATCAATCCCTGACCTCCTGATTCATAAGTTGATGCTCGACCTACTGAGCCACGATGGCTGGGCTATATATACATTTTTATTGACATCAGTCCAAAGGCCGATAATTTACCCACTGAGCCAAACTGCCAAACTAGCTGGGGCAGGTCTAATACTTCTTGATATCAAGGCTCATCCTTCTCCATGTGACTTGTGCCATGCAGCATATTCGTGGGCAATAACAAGTGACCAAGAGTTTTAAAGTGATGGGCGGCACACTCATAGCCATGTGATGTGCCCTGGATGAACTCTGGGGAGGAACGCAAGCTAGGAAACCAGTGACCTCCTTTCCGTCGTAGTTATCAACAGCGAGATGGCTCTGAACATGTCTCCCCAAAACTCTCTCCCCAACACAGACCTTCTCTAGATTCCCAGAGTTCGTCCCACAGGGTATAGCATCTTATCGTTAGAGAGAAATACAATTCTCCACTTCTACATTTTTGTCTTGGCAGGCCTCCCCTTTCTCTGGCAGAAACGGAATTATTACTAAGTACTAATGGCAGCACTAAGCAATAGCAGCAATAGTGTCTATCAGAGTTTAAGGACGAGGAGAGCAGTTTCCAGGAAACCTTGAGTTTTTCAGATTGTTCCCTGATGAAGTCCAGGGTCTGGAGGAAGCAAGGTCAAATATGCTTAGGCATTAAAGGGAAAGAAAGCTCATCTCAATGGTAAGGCCACCGTCAGCCACAATGAAAAGTACACCCCCAAAAGAAACAGGGAATCTTCTCCCTAGAAGAGTAACCCTGTAATTGGTAGAGGAATTAGCCAAAATCAAACATGCAGAGAGAGTCTGAAGAGCAGATTTCTCTTCCACATGCCAAGCCTTTCTGAGCCATGGCAAGACCAACTGCCCATATCTAGTCCCATTCAAAACCTCTGCACTGGCCCTGGCAGGGTAGCCGAGGTGGTTAGGGCATTGTCCTGATATGCCAAGGTTTTGGGTTCGATCCCTGGTCAGGGCATGTACAAGAACCAACCAATGAATGCACAAGTAAGTGGAACAACTAATCAGTATTTCTCTCTCCTTCCCTCTCCTCTCTCAAATCAATCAATAAATACACAAAATAAAGCTTCTGTACTGGTCGGGGAAGCCAGGACTGGAATGGATGTATCTGGTGACTGACCAGAGAGTTGGCCTAACCCTGAGACCAGTGGCCAACAAGAAGCTTCTTAGTCCTCTCCCAGGCAATCCCAGGTGCCTATCTTCCCTTCTTCCCAGAATGATCCTGGGCTAGCGTTTGGGGATACAGCTCTCCGAGGAGGCTAGAGAACGCATAGCCTGCCTGGTTCTCAGCTTTCCCTCATGACGAGGCTCCCACAGCCTAGAAAAGACAAGGGGGCCAGAGGGCAGGTGCCCTCAGCGAGGTCAGAGCAGCTCAAAAACCTGGGCTTCCGCACAGGGGAATCCACTTCGCACGCTAGCGTCAAGCCTCTGGGCTCAGCTCCTCACTCATTTCAATCTCTCCGAGTCTCTCCTTCCTCATCTGGAAAAGGGAATGTGGACTAGCCACCTCATAGGGTCCCAGGAAGGATGAAACAAAAAACGATTCGTGTGAACGGGCTTGCAATAATAATTCCATACCTGTTAGCCAATCTTGCTTCCTATGACCCTTTCCCCTGCTTTGGGGGCAAGCACGTCTGTGCTTCCTGCATTTTTCCCAGTAAGGAAATTACAACCTGACTATCTGAAGCATCTCCAAAACATTCTCCCACCCCCACCCCACCCCCAAACCCCACCCGCTCGCGGGCTGCAGGCGTGGACACAGGGATGGGATGGCTCCCTGGTGCCTGGCGGTGACCGACCCCGCTGGGCGTGCCTCCGGCTGAACCCGTGCGCGCGTGCAAGTCCACACATAGAGGATGGGCGATGGGCGTGCGCCTGCCCCACCGCCCGCGCAGGCCGGGGAGTCCCGGGTCCGGGCTCGCTTCCCGAGCCGGTGGGCGGGGCGGGGCCGTTGTTCTGCGGGGACCCAGGCCCCCGCGCTCCCTAAGGAGAACGGCCGGCTGCACCCCCCATGCGATCCCACCCCCAGGTTTAAACTGAAGCCACGTCCCCTCTCCCCACGCGTCTCCGGGAAGGGGAGGGGAAAGCAGGATGGAGTTGTGCGTAGGGGTCACCCCCGTGGCTTCTCTGCTGTTTTCTGTGAAACTTCCCCAGGGCCTATGCATTCGCGAAGTGCTGGGGAGGGGCCAGGCCCGGGCTGGTACCCCCCCACCCCCCACCCCTTCCCGGACGGGGCCCTCTGGGTCTTGCAGAAAGCTTCCCTGCGCCCCCGGGGCCGCGGGGTGCCGGGCAGAGGGGCCGGGCGGCCGGGGGCAGAGGAGCGGAGAAGAAAGGAATGGGAGGGGGAGCGGGGAGCTGGCGGCAGAGGGAACAGCAGATTGCGCCGAGCCAATGGCAGCGGCGGGACGAGGTGGCACCAAATTCCCTTCGGCCAATGGCGCGCCGGCGTCTACAGGAGCCCATTAGCATTTCCCCGGGGGCCGGCGCTGCGGCTGCGGAGCCAGCCCGGCCGCGGTATGCCTGCAGCATCCAGGTTGTGCGTGGCCGGCCCCTAGCACGCCTCGCCTCTGTCTCCTCCCCTCCCCGCCCATGCGGGGGTCCCGCCGCGAGCCAACTCCGCGCACTTTGCCCCTGTTGGCAGCGAATAAAAGGAGTCTGAGGAAATACGGGGCACGGCCATCCCCTGCCAGCTCATCTAGCCTTTAAATCCCCAGCCTTGGGAGAGCCACGCACCGGGTCCACGGACGCCGATCCAGCGCGCACCGCCCGCCACGCACCGCCACCGCCACCCCTCCGAGCGCCCACGCGGGCTCAGCCATCGACATCTCTCAGCTGCCCCGGCCGGCCGTCCCCGAACTCCGCTGCGCAGCCTCAGCCCTGGGAGAGTGACCCCAGGCATCCGAGAGCACAGATGCCGGCCCACTTGCTGCAAGAGGAGGTGAGTTTCCTTCCAGCCTGGCTTCCTGGCTCCCGGGCTCCCTGGCTCCCGGGCTCCCGGGCTCCCTGACCGCTTGGCGCCCCAGCTGGCCCGGCTTCTAGGTGACTCGTGGATGGAGGAGCGGAGATCCCCGCGGAGGACAGAGCCATCTTTTGCGAGTTGTGCTGCCTTCATTTGCTGGGGATCTGCGTTATAATTTGAGGGACTTGGTTCCCCAACTTTTGTTTCTTACGCTTCAAAGGAAAACCGGGTCGTGGCTGGCGGCACCCTTGCGTCTGTAATGCCCGCGGGGGGTTCCTTTGTGTGTCCGCACGGGTGAAAGGGTTCTTCTCCTTCCTGTGGCCCCTTCACCTTGAAGGTTCACCCCCCTCCCCAATCTCTCTGCATAGTTTCCTGGGGACTTCCTCTTCTTTCATCTGGGGTGGACCCCGCCTTCCGTTACCCCCGCCTGGGTAGGTTGGGGCAGGGTCTGTGCCAACCCTTCGCGCTTCCTCCAGCTGGATGAGAGAGTGACGTGGCCCCTGCTACCTCCACGTGCAGCCTCCTCTCCCCTGACCCTCCGCTTCCTCTCCCTGCCAGATGGCTAGCTCCTATGCATCCTCCTCCACCACCACCACCACCACCATCACCGAGCCTCCCGCCCGGGTCCTGCAGAATGGAGAAAGCAACCCGGAGAAGAATCTCCTGCACCCGGAGGAAGACATCCGCCCCGAAATGAAAGACGACATCTATGACCCAAGTTACAAGGATAAGGAGGGCCCGAGGCCCAAGCTTGAGTATGTCTGGAGGAACATCATCCTTATGTCGCTGCTACACTTGGGAGCCCTGTACGGCATCATCCTGATCCCCACCTGCAAGGTCTACACCTGGCTCTGGGGTAAGAGTGCTGCTCGTCCCCCTGCCCCGAAGCGCCAGGTTCCCTTCGCCCTTTAACAGGACAGGAGCTCACCTGGAACAGAAGTGCTGGCCTCTACAATTCCTGAGAGGCTGCGTGTCCTGGGGGCAGAGGCTAGGGGGGCGGGGAGGCGGGGGTGGCAATGCTGGGGGTCTTTTCACGTGGGTGCTGGGGAGGGAGCCGGTAGACCTGTGCCAGAGGGTAGGCTTTCCCTGAAAGAGCTTTTCTGTTTCAAGCCATTTGCTTGGCTGCTTGTCCCAGCCCCACCATCCACCAAAGACTCAAGGCCCCTAGCTGGGAGCATGGGAACATGGGGTGAGACCAGTGGTTTGGGGGTGGTATATGTGGAGCAACGTCGTGAGAAAGCAAGAAAAATGGCTCAGGAAGAGAGGAGGAGAGGGAGGAACCGAGAGGTGGTTACCCACAAAGGTGTGTGCCCTGACCCTGGCCCACCAGCCTCCTTGGTTAGAAAGATGAAGCTCCTGTAGGAAACACGTTAAACAGATGGGGTGACTCCCCGTAGGTCCCAGGGCACGGTGCGCACCACTCAGGGAAAAGTCCTTTGGTGGCAACGAGGTGGAAGCACTGCTTCATGTCCCATTTCCTACCTAGCCTGCTCCAGCTTCAGCTCCTGATGCCATGAAGTCTCTCCTTGCCTGGACAGCCAGACCAGGCCAGAAGAGAGCCCTAAGCAGCTCCAGCCTTGAGTCTGCTGCGAGGCTGCTGCAGTGAGGGAGTTCTGTCCCTGACCTGCCCTTAGCTCAGCTTTTTCAGAATCCATGGGTATGAGCGGAGAGCAGCGCCCTGCCCCCTGGAAGCACACATGCGCTCTGCAGGCATTTTCACCTCTGCCATCATAAGCCTGAGTTGGGGACGGGAGATGAGGAAATTCTTAAGGACCCAGGGGCCCCACATTGCCACTCTCCGAGGGTGGTGAACTGAATTCTCTCTGGGAAACTACGTTAGGGTTTCCAGAGTAGTCTCGGGTTGGGGTGTTTGCTGAGAGCTGCACTCTTGGAGGGTAGTTATGTAGAAGGGCTAGTAGGCCAAGTTTTAGCTGATTCTCCCAGGACCTCTTACGCCTAAAGGTGGTGGGATCTGGTCCTTAGAGCTTTGTGTTGGGAAATCCTCTCAGTGCCTCAGACAGTGAAATGCAACTGGGTAGAGATCCCTTCTCCCAGGATCTCCATCTTTCCAGGTACAAACTGGGACGACGGTACTTTTTTAGGATCAGGAAGGTAGTGCTCCTCGGGTTACAGGTTTCCCATTGCTGAGGCTGTGCAGGTGCAGGATATGAGCTCTTCTGCAGACCAGGAAGGGCTCTTCTCTCTGTTCTCTAGCCCCTCTGAGGTCCCAGCCAAACTTCAGCTCTCTACCCTCCTACCCAAAAGAGGAGTCTTCACAAGTAGGGTTGTAGCCCGCAAGCCCCTTCCAGCCTCAGCACTCCCTGTAGGCCTGGCTAAGCCCACAGTCTGGCCAGACTGCTTCTGCTTGCCCCCCACCCTTGGCTGCGGGAGCAGGGGGCAGAGTGCGATCCCCAATCCAAGGCTGTGCCCACTACCCTTATGTGCCCTGCCCAGGTGCCTTTGGGCAGGGAAATGTGGCACCCAGAGACTGGATGGGGACCTTTTGTACTCCTCCCCTGGGCCTTGTGGTGGATGGTTGGGCTGACTGATCACCATCCTGGCATGGGGATAACAGAACTCCTCTGTCTTAAGAAACAAGAAGGAGAGCGTGCCCAAGGAGTGCCCCTGACGGTCCCACTTTCAGAGTTCAGGAGCTTGGCCTCAGCCTGTTCTTTTATCCCCAAGGACAGTATTAAATCAACAATTGGTTGTGATTACAGCATTTCTGGTGACTGAGCAATTCAGAGTCTCCCAGAAGGGCCGTCCGGGCAGCCTGAAGGCATCTCTCTGGCATCGCTGAGGACCGAGGGGCAAAATTTCCCTTCCCTTAGGGCCAGAGCTATGAGATTTTGCTTAACCATCAATTTGGACATGAGTAGAGAAAGAGCCTCCTTCTAGTTGCTAGGCTTAGATGTGTTGATAAAAAAAAAAAAAAAAAAAAAAGGCACTAGAATGCTTGGATTCTTTTCCCACTTCCCCTGTTAACACTAGGATCTTAAGTGCTTTCTGAGTTAGCTCACAGGGTCATCGGTGGCATGAAACAACCCTAGTAGCTTCCTTCATTTTGAGCTAAGTGCTGTGTTCTTGCCCAAAGCTGTTTTTCTTCCTCATTGACGATTCCTGTGTGGTTGTGGCTCAACTGTCATTCTTCCAGCTGCCGGTGCAGGTAGATTTTGCATCTGGGAGCAAACAGTCACATGGCTTAAGGCCAACAAGTCACGTAGCAAAGGGATTAGAGACAGAATTGTCATTGGGATAGACTCTGGCTCCACGGCTCTCCCTCTCCCGTGGGATCCTGTAGGAGGAATAGGATAGGGTGGAGGGTGGGGGGTAGGGGATATTTGTTTAGGAAACTGTTATCTGTGGCTGGAGAAAGAACACAGGACAATTTGTTACACCATGTGGTGTCTCCAACTGCAACTAAATTCTGTGGCCACTGAGGACCCATTGTTTTGAGCTATAGTCCTAGGAATGAAACATTGTCAACAGTCAACTGCTCTACCAAGGCCCTACTCAGCCTCTGCCTCTTAGAGCTACTGAACAGAGGAATATGGGTACAGCCAGCAACCCACTGCCCAGTTAGAGATTATAGCTGGCACCTCCTGAGCTTGGCAGGCCTCCAGGAAGGTGAGGGAGGACGGTGTTGGGGTGTTCCACCAACAGTTCTGAGCATATCCCACCACCATCTAAAATGAGCCTTGCCAGAGAGAGTGGGGGCTGACAGAGGGGTGTGGCAAAGGAGAGACGCAGGAACTCTGTACATATCCTAGGGAGCTGGATGGTATAGTTGGAACATGAATGCTTGTTAACAGAACTCTTAGTTTCAAACTATCGCTCCATTTCTTACTGGCCTTGTGACCATAGATAAACACAACCTCTATGAGCGTCTTTTTTTTTTTTTTTTTTTTTTTTTTTTTCTTTCAACTGCAAAGTGAGGCTATTAAAGGCCATTCAAAGGAACCAGAAAATCAGAGAATATAAAATTCTTAGCTAAGCTGTGCAGAGAGAAGACTTATGTGAAGGGCAGATTGTCCCCCTGATATGGTCACACTGCCTGCTAAAATACTGAAATGCTTTTGGATCAGTTGGTAAATAGTCATAGTTCTGAGCCCCTTGGTGTCCTCTAGAACCCAGAGCCCCTTGGATTGATGAGTGCCCAGACTCTACTGACTATTAAATTGTTTGGGACTACCCTTGGTTATGGGTCCTAAGCTCTGTAGGAGTGGTCTGTGGTCCTTAAAAACTGGGGGAAGCTTAGCTGAAGTTCAAAGGAGATGGAGCTTGAGATAATAGTCCTCATGACTAAGAGTGGCCAGGCGCTGGGTAGCAAGCTCTCTCTTCTCTGTCCTGCCTTTCTAAAGCTCCTGCAACAGCCCGGCTGGCATGGCTCAGTGGTTGAGTGCCAATCTATGAACCAGGAGGTCACGGTTCCATTCCTGGTTGGGGCACATGCCCAGGTTGTGGTCTTGATCCCCAGTGTGTGGCACATAGGAGACAACCAATCAGTGATTCACTCTCATCGTAGATGTTTCCATCTCTCTCTCCCTTTCCATTCCTCTCTGAAATCAAAAAAAAGTTCCTGAAACTTCTTAGGTTATTCCAATTCCTAGGTGGAGAGGGTGAGAGGTGATGGTTTTTTTTTTTCTTTCAAGTAATAAAATTGGAGAGACCTAAGAGGCCAAGGTGTCCCTGGACCTCAGGGAAAAGCAGATCCTTCCCAAAAGCCTCTGAAAACACAGCCAACATACAGAGAACCACATGTGAATGTTTCTCCAGATGATTGACCTCTCACTGTTTCTTCCTGGCAGGGTTCGCCTACTACATCATCAGTGCTCTGGGTATAACAGCGGGAGCCCATCGCCTGTGGAGCCACCGGAGCTACAAAGCTCGGCTGCCTCTGCGGGTCTTCCTGATCATCGCCAACACAATGGCATTCCAGGTAGGAAGCCAGCTCTGCCCAGCCCTTCCCTCCACTCTGTCAGTGACCAGGGGTGGATGAAGGAGATCAGCACCTGCAGAGGAGCAACACCTGGACAGCCATTTCACTCTCCTCTCTCCTGGTGGTCACCTCAGGTGCAGGCCCCGGCCTTCAGTCCATAAAGCATGGGCACATTTCTGAGTCTAGAAAAGAGAACTAGGAAATATATATCCCTATATAATATATATATATATATATATATATATATATATATATATATATTCCTACGGTTCCTCTGTTGTCCTTCATTCTCAGGGTCTACAAGGCATTGGACAATAGACTCACCATTTTAGGTGAATAGCTTAGGGCTCCATCATGATGGGACTGAAGTGGATGTTTCACAGACTCAGGAATTCTGTTGTTTTCCAGTGATGACAGCAAATACTTACTGCACTGAGTGTGTGCCTGGTACTATTCTAAGCCCTTGACATAGTTTACCTTATTAAATTCTCTTAGGCGGTGGGTACTATTCTTATTCCCATTTTCTAGATAAGAAAATTATGTCATGGATAGGTTAGGGAGACCAACAATATGGTCCTGTCTTGGGCTGCCAGGCTGTATGGAAGTTCGTTGAGTCAGAGATAGAATGAGATAGAATGAAGGAAACTGGGGAAAGGAGATGCATAGCTATTAAGCGGTGGCAATGGGCAAAGGATAGCTTGGGATGTGGGCCTTAGCTTGGAGCAAAGGGGGAAAAGAGGCCACCAAACTTGTTCCCTTCTTCATGGCAATACTGTAGGTATTTACCACAGTTATGTAATCATCGGTGCCATATTACTTTATACCTGGAGGGCTCCTGATATTGGGACAAAGGTAAGAAAGAGATATTGACACATTCTTTAAAGGATGGAAAGAGCCCCAGAGGAACCCAGAGATCATTTGGGAATGTGGCCACGCTCCTGATTTATGTGTCTGGTCTTGCTGAGTTATGAGCTGTCTCTTGCCAAGGCATCAGAATGAAGCTCCCTGCAGTTTTATCCACGGACCAGGGCCCTAGGATGCAAGGCTGTCTGCCTTGCTCACCCTGCCCAGGGATTAGGCACCCCATGAAGACCTTTTCCAACATTTCTTGCTAGAGGGATTGCAATGTCCTCTCCTAATGAAATTGAGCTCTATGATCTACCTCCATTCTGCCCACTGTATAATCTTTCTGAAGCAACCAGTCCTATTTATGTGGTCCTGGGACTTCAAGTTGCTTTTCCAATTAAGCTTCAGTGGCAAGTTGGGGGGAAAGAGGCAGCTACTCTGTGACCCTCCTTTGGAGCCCCGGCTCCTACGTATTTTGTGAGGTTGTGCTGAGAGTCATGGGCCCTTGAAGATGTCTATCCACTGGGATTCCCCTAAGAGGGTGTCTCTCCTCAGGCCTACAGTAGTCTTCTTCTCTGCCCCTCCAGAATGATGCTTATGAATGGGCCCGAGATCACCGTGTTCACCACAAGTTTTCAGAAACAGATGCTGATCCTCACAATGCCCGGCGTGGCTTTTTCTTCTCCCACGTGGGTTGGCTGCTGGTGCGCAAACACCCAGCTGTCAAAGAGAAGGGTGGTTTGCTAGACTTGTCTGACCTGAAGGCTGAGAAGCTGCTGATGTTCCAGAGGAGGTGAGTGGAGGGGGATGGAGCTGGACACTTGATGTTTAGGGAATCCCCTCACCCCTTTCCTCCCAGGACTTATAAACATAAACTGAGAAATGTACTGGGTTTGCATATTCAAAAATCATAACTTAAAACCCTAATTTTTAAAGAGTCCCCAAGTCTACAGCTATAGAATATTATTCTTTCTGAACTTCTTAATTAGGCCAATAAAATTCAATTAATGCTTACTGACTTAGGAAGTCATGGGTACAAAGATGATTGTGCCATAGTCCTTACCTTCAAGGAGTTTGTAGCCTACTGGTGAGTGAAAGAATAAGCCAAGTGTCTGAATAAGTATGATACATGGCAAAATACTTCCTGTACCAGTCAGAGACACAAAGGAGAGAGAGACTGCATAGGGGGGAGCGTCAGGGAACCATTTGTGAAGCAGGTAGCTTTGGAATCCACTAATGGATAGAAATTTTCACAGGTGTCAGGGGAGAGGAACAAACAGTACAAACAGAACAGAATGATCTAAGCCTGAAGTATGTTCTAGCAACAGAGTCCTTTTGCTTGAAGTATAGGGCGTGGTAGGATTAAGACTATAGAAGGAGACTGGGGCCATTAAAAGCAGACTTAGGATTTAATTTCATAGGCAATGGGAGACCATAACAAGTTTTTTGATTGGGAATCTGTGATGGTTGGAGGTGTGCTTCAGAAAGATCACTCTCATGACAGGTGCAGAAACCAATAAGCCAAAGAGGTGAGAAGCAGGGCCGCAAATTAGGAGGCAGTGGGGACCCATGCTAGGGAAGCAGCGGCAAGAATGGAAAGGAGTTGGGTGCAGGAATGCCAATGGTATAAGAGCATAAGGCTTGACTGCTGAAGAGATGCAGGAAATCAAGTCACTGGTCTGGTCTTACCTTCAAGGAGAGATTGAATAATGGGACAGGACCTTCAGAAGATTGGGGATCTGGAGGCATTAGAGATCCTGAGGGAAAAGAAGAGGAGTGGTTAGAGGCTGGCTGGCAGGAAGTGGAGGCAAGACACTACACATGGACTCTGCAAAGAACATTGATTAGAAAGAGAAAGGAGCCCAAAGACAGAATGGAAAAACAGCCTGGGCGGGAGAACTCAGTGTATTCATTTATAATATGGACCTTGCCTATTTTACTCACATGAAATTGTGCTATCGTAAAAAAGAAAAAAAAAAGGAAGAAGAAAAAAAAAAAGGCAATGACTTTCGAATCAGGAGATCAGCATTCCAATCCTTGTTCCACTGGTTCCTTGTGGTGCAATCCTAGAAAAGTCATTTAACCCCTCATTACCTCATCTAAAAAGTGAGATAATGACACTACATTCTCACAAGATTTCCCACCCCATCCCTCTTGCTCTGTTTCCTGCCACACTGTCCTCACAATGTGGAAGGAAAGAGACAGTCCAACCCAGTGATGATGGAAATCAGTAGGTCTATGTCCTGTCTGCTGACTTGGTGTATGATTTCTCAATGTAGGCATTACAAGCCCGCTGTCCTGCTGATGTGCTTCATCCTGCCCACACTTGTGCCCTGGTATTTCTGGGGTGAAACTTTCAAACACAGCTTGTATGTTGCCACTTTCCTGCGGTATGCCATTGTGCTCAATGCCACCTGGCTGGTGAACAGCGCTGCCCACCTCTACGGATATCGCCCTTACGACAAGAACATTAACCCACGGGAGAATATCCTGGTTTCACTGGGAGCTGTGGGTAAGTCAGCAGTCCACAGCTAGACCACATCTAGTGGTCTGCTGTCTGGGTATTGGGCTGGGAACCAGAAAAACCAGGTTAACTTGCTTTATGACCTCTTTCTATCTGTTTTTTCCACTCTAGAACTAAGGGGCAATATATGAGAAAACTCTTGAGAGCCAGGCCACAAGTCTTATATAAAAAGAAAAGGTTAAATATAGCAATGCCTTTGATTCCAGGTACTTAAACAATTCCCAAATGTTACATATAATGAGCCCCTCTGGGTTTTTCCAGTCACGTCTGGGCTGGATTGTAGGGAAGTATAAATCGATATAAATAGAATAGGGCCCTCAGGATGGCCAATATATCCCAGTGGTGTATATGTCATATCAGATGTAGAATAGTTGTAATTTAATTCAGTAAACTTTTCTTTTATATATCTTTTTTTGCTATATTCAGATAGGCCATACATTAAGTGTACACCATGCCTTATTGCCTGGTGATGCCAATCTGAAGGAGAATAAAGCAACTGTTGTCAGCTATACCATGCTTGTCTCCTGTCCTTGATTTTTGTCTCTTCTGCTTTATTCTGTGCTAAGAATGGCTTAGGGAACTCCTGATAAAGCAGTTAGTTTAATCACAAGTGCCTGCTAATTGATCTAATGCTTGCTATTTATGAAGTTATTTCTTTATACTTTGAGTTCTAATAGCCAGAGTTCTACAGTCTGTCTCCAATTGTTTTTTTTCTGTCACTGTTTTCAACTAAATAGAGACCATCACTAAGGCCTGGAATTAGCCCTCCTTGAGGAAACCCAGTGGCCTCCTGTTCCTCCCCGTTGATCAGTGAGCAACCTCACTGTTCCATGTGTTTATGCATATCATGGCCTAAATTCACCCTTTTCTCTTTATAGTCTCAACCCTGACCATCTTCACTAGGTACTGACTGTATTCCAACAGTATTTTTCCCCTCTCTCTTTTTAACTTTCATGCCTCTCCCCTCTCCTTCCAGGCACCATCTACCATGGTGCATGTTTTTACTCTGAACCATGTTTGAAGTAAATCACCTAGGCCATATAAGTCTGAGGTTTTCATAGACATGGAAGTTTCTGGAATGAGAGTTGTCCTGTACTGCAAATGGGTCTACAGTGAGCTTCCCCAACTGCAGCCTCTTTCTGACCACTAGTTCCAAGTGGCTCCCTTGTGGAAAAAAACAGCCCAACAAACAACCCCCACAAAAAACAAAGTGGCTCCCAATATCTTATTTTGTCTCAGTTATTTATTTCTCTGTACCTGCTGCTCTCCTCCCTTATCACCTCCCCTTTTGTTCTCCTCTAGCTTGCTTCCTGCCTTTCTAATCTTTTCTTCTTGAATTACCTCCCCCACAGTCACATGCTCATCTTCTCTCTGACAAAGCTGACTCCCTTGAGCCTTTCTTGGGCTGTATCTTGCTGCCCCAGTTGCAAAGTCTTGTCCTTCTCCCTATTGACTCTCCTTCCCCTCCCCCCTGTCCCTTTGGCTATGTGTGTGCCTGATTCAGTTTTCAATCTGATAAGTATAGGCCTGGTTAGTGCTTTATATAGAGCCTGGTGCAAAGCCATTGAGGGAAATGAGAAATCCTCTGTCAGTTCCTTTAGTCTTGGGATCTTTCCATCCTCCTACTCAGTTCACACTGTCTCAGAGTCCACGTTACAGAGAGGACACACCTTGAGATGCCTTGGATGGTGTCATTTACTTTGCGGGACTTCCTTTACTTGCGCGTTATTAATATCATTATGGCTCCTTTGAAGGCTCTTTTATCTTCAAAGGACTTGATATGCTCTTTTACTAGCTATTTTTTACTCGGCTTTACCACAGCCTCATAAGGCTCAGTATTGTTATTGTTGAATGTGGTTCAGAAAAAAGAGTTTTGCCAACGATTGGAGAAATTCTCTGTGGACTTTCCAGAGTTTTATCCATTACAGAAATTATCCCGAATCCAGAATTTTGTGGGTTTTTGTTTGTTTTTTTTCTCTCCATCCAGCAAAAAGAACCGCTCACCTCAGAAGTTAGAGGGAGTTTCTAAGCATTTTGCCTCTGACTCCCGAGAGCTTCTGTTGTATCTGCATCACCACCACACCAGGGTCAAAGCTCAAAGAATTCGAAGTCAGAGAGTCTACTGAACCAGTAGTGGCCGAGGACACTCGAGCCCTGGGCTGGGCCTCCTTTCTTCTGACTTTCGGCTGTTGCTGCCCAATTCTGTTGTTCTCTCACACGCTTGTGGGTAGTTCCAGTGCAGGTGTACTCCCTTGCTCACCTTTGTAAGAAACACAGCAAATGTTCTTTATTCTAGACTCTCTCCTCTTCCCCCCTTCTCTCCCCCCCCCTCTCTCTCTCTCTCTCAATCTCTCTCACACACACACACACACACACACACACACACACACACACACACACACACAGAGCCGTGAGGATCTCAGACCAATATTTAGTAAAGCCTGGGGTTTTCCGAACTAAAATCCATTTACAGTGATAGTTTCTTTTTTAGTCCTCTTATCCTCTGAGAGAAACTGCCAGTCCTCGCACAATGGCTCCCAGAAATCCATGGGTGACCAAGGTCTCCCTATTCATTTCTTCCCTTTTTTTGTTTCCTTAATCTTGACCAAAGATATTTTTTCCATTGATTTTAGAGAAAGTGGAAGGGAGGTAAAGAGGAAGAGAGGTAGAGACAGAGAGAAAAATAGATGTGAGAGAGACACATTGATTGGTTGTCTCCTGCTGCAGCAAGGAGATCGAACCTGAAATCCAGGTACATACCCTTGATGGGGAATGGACCTGAGGCCCTTTGATGTGGGGGGTGGGTGCTCTAACCACTGAGAAACACTGGCCAGGGCTCCCCGTTTTTTTCTTAAGAAGCCTCTGAGTGGATCTATTTGGTTCAGAGTAGAATTGACTAGTTTCGTTCATTCATTCAACAACAGCAAGTATCTACTAGATTTGAGGTACTCTGCTAGGTAACTGATGTTCCAAGATCAGGAAGACAGCAATTCACTGTAGAGCACCTTAACTTTTTTCTTTGTTTTTTGGTTTCAGGTGAGGGTTTCCACAACTACCATCACTCCTTCCCCTATGACTACTCCACCAGTGAATACCGCTGGCACATCAACTTAACCACATTCTTCATCGACTGCATGGCTGCCCTCGGCCTGGCTTACGACCGGAAGAAAGTATCCAAGGCAGCCGTGTTGGCCAAGATTAAGAGAACTGGAGATGGAAGCTACAAGAGTGGCTGAGTTTGGGGTCCTCCATTTTCCTTTTCAGAAGCCAGCCAGGCAGAGTTTTAATGTTCTTTTTATTAACTACTGAATAATGCTACCAGGATGCTAAAGATGATGAGGTTAACCCATTCCAGTATTCTTTTAAAATTCAAAAGTATTGAAAGCCAACAACTCTGCCTTCATGATGCTAAGCTGATACTCTTTCTTCTCTTTTCTTCCCTGTCTTCTAGACCCATTGTCCTTTTCTTTGCTTTTTTCCTATCACTTTCCTCTCCCTTCTCCCTCATTGCCCCCAGACAAGCAGCTGGTGAGGCAGTGGTGGGTATCTAGCTTCTGAAGTCTAGACAACCCTTCTATCATCCCAAACTAATGGTTTTGCCCCAGATAACTCTTTCCTTGAGATGTTCTAAGCTTCAAGGTAGGTGGCTCAAGCTAGAGATTTGACAAAATCTTCTGGGAAGACCTCTCTTAGTTATTTTCATTTCAGACTTTTGCTTGATGGAATGGAAAAACAACTTTATTTGTCACAAAGCTTCTAAAGCAGGTAAATTGTCAGGGGAGAGAGTTAGCATGCATGGTACGATTGATAAGTAAGGTGGGAAACAAAGCAAGAAGAAGCTCCTGATGTGATCAAACACACCGTTGCCTGCCCACTGCGGCCATTGAGCCCCACCACCCAGCACGCTTCCTTTCTCTCCTGACTGTGAGTAGGGAATGGCCATGGAGCTTGGCAATGCTAGACCACAGGAGCAAATCTTAGGTCCTAATAGACACTAGGATGGAGATAAAGAAAAAGCATTTAGCTTGTAATACAAATGATCTTCAATGGAGGTGTTTTTTTCCTTTAATAACAGGAAAATTTCTTACTTCATATATCAGAAAGTCTTGAAGTTGGTTGTTTCCAGAATTGATGAGTCCAGCAGCTCCTGGAATCATCAAAATTCTTTCATCTTTCTAACTTTGCCATCTGACCCTTGAGATACTGGTCAGCTCTACTCAGTAATGCGGTAGCTGCAGCATTTCCAGAATCCAAAAAAGGAATGTATTGGTGGTATAATGGTGAGCATTCCAAAAAAGGAAGGATTTTAGGAAGTAGGTTAAACAAATACATATATTTATATATATACAGATATACTTTGCTTAGAATATTAATTCACTCAGAGTATTTCCCTCTGAGAGAGGGATGCTTGAAGAAGAGAATAGGGGATGGAGAGGTTGAAGAGCAGGTCTGTGGGCAGTTCCTGAGAGATTATTTTACAGAAGAAGGACTTTGAGAATGCATTGTCTGGGGATTTGGATTCAGAAGCTTACTAAGTAAATTATTGGGTGTCATAATAGGAAAGCTGGTTATCCAAACAAGTTAGTAGTTGTTAGGTTCACTCATTGACTTCCATTTCTCCTCGGAGTAAGTAGAAACTAGGAGGCTTTTTGCCATAGTGTCAGACTGTTTCACTCATTTCTTCTGTTAACAGGTAGCCCAGTGATTTTCAGTCTCTTTCATCTCATGGCACACATACACTAATTACTAAAATTCTGCAGCACACCAAAAAATGTTTTTGCCAATCTAACAACAACAAAAGGTACACTTTTGAGCGATCCACACCAGACAGCTCTTGTGTTGGCTGTTGTCATTTTTATATTTGACAATCTAAGGAAAAAGAGGTCAGTGCCCCTGGCTAAACAGTCAGGTGCTGCATGTTTTCAAAAAATGCTTGTGGCACAACAGTTGAAAATCACTGATCTAGCCAAAATATAGAACTGCCTGGGGGAGAGAAGAAGTCTTTTTACCCTGGTTCTTGATTCCTGGCTCTACCCAATCTGTCCATTTCTCCTCCCGGTTCTACCTGTCCCCTGATGTTTTCTTGTTTTCTCTGGACAGGCAGCCTCCTTTGTGTATTCGGAGGCAGTGCGTGCTGTCCAGGCAGGCAGAATGCTCAGGGTCACTGCACCACCGTTTCTCTTTATCAAGTTGCCCTGGCTGCCACTTTCACCTGGCTTCCAGAGTCTCTCCACCTACAGTCCTATTATCCCCTGCCACAGTGATGACTCAAGACAAGGCTGACAAACCCTACTAGGAACATCCCTGGCTCAGGCTTTCTCTCTCTCTCTCTCTCTCCTCTCTCTCATGAGGCACAGCCAAGCCAAATGCTTGCATCATGCTAGTGAGCCAGCCCTGGAGCAAAAGAGAGTTTGTTTTCCGTCTCCTCTGTCTGGGTCAGAACCAGAGAACATACTGGACGCCCCCTGCTTGCTTATTTACCCTGCCCAGCTTTAGTCTGTGCTCCCGGCTCACGGCAACGCCGGTAGAAGTAGGAGGGAGCCTAGCCTTCACTGGGAAGCACAAGAAACAAAGGCAAGTTCCAAAGTGCCTCGCTTGAAAGAAGGCCCTGTTCATTCCCTGGAGCCAGGATACACTGCAAAGCTTTGGCTGGGACTTGGGATCTGAGATGCCATGAACTTTGCTGAGCGGCATCTCTGTTCAGCAAATTAACCAGCATTCCCTACAGCACAGCTTAGAGTAGACAATAGTGTAGAAGAGGTCTAAGAAAAAAAAAAAAAATCAGTGTTTTGAGAACCTTGGGCCACTCCTGTCCCTGGACCTCAGTCATCAATGCAGAAGCCTGGCTTTTCTTTGTCAAGATTGGAAATGTATGATACCAAATGCTCTGTCCACTGCTGAAACCGAGCGGTGGAAGGAAGGAGAGCCTTTCTTTTGGTGTTTGCTGAGTAGATAGAGGCTCCAGGGATGAGCCTGGTCTAAAGGCATCTTTGTCTTTTGAGCTGTTCCTCTCAATAGAAAAGAATCAAACGGAAGGTCACTGTAGTTTCGATCTGTTGACCTGTGCACCTACCCCTGGGAAATGTCTATTGGATAGTTTTAACGCCACAGGTCACCAGATGCCTACTTTATAATTTATGATCAGAAACAACTTTATCTTTCTATTCTAATCATGTTCCATGGATCTGATCCACACCATGACCCTGCCTACCCAAGGCTGATTGGAATTCCTCAGCTTGAGGGCCCTAGTGTATATGTGGATGTGGGGGTAGGGTTAGGAGGGCGGGGGGTGGGGGGGAGGTCTCTGCTGAATAAGGAACAGTTCTCAAGATTCTCAAGCTGAATTCAAATAATGCATTAATGATCCAGAAACCCGGATCTGATCAAGTGTGAATTTCTAACAGTCCTTGCTTTGTGGGTGTGCTGACAACTTATTTGGGTGCCTTACATGTTTTCTAATCAGTGTTGCATATGAGCCTGCTCTCACTCCCTCCTGGCTCCTCTGTGGAGTTCCTTTGCACCTGAGAGCTTGCAGAAGTGGCTGGTGGAAAGGGGGGGCCTGGCTGTACAGCTGTTCCCAGGATTCCCTCCTGGGCTTCATTTTGGAAACTTTTCTTAGGTCTGTGTTTATGAAGTGCCCACATTTGATGGCGGGTGGAAGTAATTTGAATGTATTTGGTTTTTATTTAGATTAAAAAGATGCTTGTAGCATTTAAAATGGAAACTTTTTCTCCTTGGTTTTCTAGTATCCTGAGTGTATTCTCTGTAAGGATAGCTTAAATGGGTCAGCGTGAAAGGTGAAAGAAAGCAAGATATCAACTTTACCCAGGTGGTTAAGGCCAAGGCCTCTCTTACCACTGTGCCACTGACTTGCTATGTGACCCTGGGCAAGTCTCTTAACAATAATGTGCCTCAGTTTTCCTTCTGTTAAAATGGGGGTAATATACTGACCTACCTCAAAGGGCAGTTTTGAGGTGTGACTAATGCTTTATATAAAGCATTTTGGGACCCTTCAGCAGAGAAATTCTCTTAAGTCCTGAGTATTTTTATAGTTACTAGTATCCACCATGAATTTGTGTCCGCCGTGAACCATGTGTCCCAGATGCTATCATTAATCTATATGGTTTTCTCTGAGAAATTAAATAAGTCCATTGGATAAGTGGTAGATAACTAGCCAGACAAAATTTGAGAATGCATAAATTCATTGTCATGGAAACAGACACAGGACACCTGTTCCTTGATTGGGTGGGATTTTTCCTTTTTTTTTTTTTTTTTTTTAAATGTGGGATAGTAGTTATTTGTGACCTAAGAATAATTTTGGAATAATTTCTATTAATAACTCTGAAGTTAGTTGTACTTATCTAACATTGTGTTTGTTCATAATAAAAGTGAAGTGAATCTGACTGCACTGTGTCTGTGAGTTTTTTTGGGTGTGATTCAAAGTCTCCTGGGACTTATCTCTGGTCCACCATGATATCTAGGTCCTGTTCCTGTACCTTTAAGAGTAACACAGAAGAAAAAGCTACAATGATTGACTCATATAGCCTAGTAACCCGCCCGGTCTTTGCTAAGGGTAACTATAGGTTAAATTCAGTCTTGGCAGCAGGAAACCAGCAGTCTGCTGCCGTTAAACCAACCACAGTAACACCAGCTGACACTCTGGCCCTGGCCAGGTCTCTGTGTATCACATGGTCACATGGACCCAAGAGGAAGTTGGCAGCAGGAAAATCACTCTGGAAAAGCAGGTTTTTATAATGCAGCCTAGGCTAGGCTGGCTAGGTCATTCCTCCAAAATGGTCAACCCTGGAATAAAGTGGCCTCCTGGAAGTGCTGATTGACAACAGCGGGGAGAAAGGACAAACACGGGTGGAAAGGCTTTAACTTTTACTACTTTCTCTGCGAATCCTCAGGTGGAAAAGAGAAGGCTGGCTTTTTACAATTGGAAGAAGCCCTATCCTCCAACAGGAGCCAACACTTAGGCTTCCAAGAGTTTCCTAGAACCAACTCCTCCTCCTTTCTAATGTAAGGTTGTCCTCACCGTGAACAAGAAGCAAGATTCTCTCAGGTTAAGTCAATGCATCCAAAGTCAAATCTATATTCATTGAGGTCTTGCCAGTCCTTAATTAAGTTAACGGTGGCATTTTCTTCATCAATATCTGGCTTTCCACCCTTTACCCTGTTTTGCTTAAAATATTCAGGCTGGACTTCTTTTTTTTTCTTTCAGTTCTATAATCGC